ATTTATTTTTTATGTAATGACCATGATCTCCTACTTAAGGTGTACTTTATACTCTATTATAACCAAGTTACCAAGTTTAGTGTAAAGTAATCTGCACATTTTTACTAAATGTTATTTAAGAGTTATGTACAAATGACTTTACACCAAACTTTACGAGTAATCTGTTAATCTACTGGAAATATGAAATAAAGACAATGGGCATTGGCATCCGAAAGAACTGGGTTCATATTCCAGCTTGACAGTGTTGAAAAATAAATATCAACAGAAAAAAAATGTTCTATTTTAGGATTAGAAACTGTCAGGAGCATTTTTATTTAGTTTAAACAGTGTAAACAACTGCCAGTAGGGAGAAAGAGTTTCTAAGATTTTTACAATTTTGAATAAAGAATCATCTGTAGAAAGGAAAATCTTATGAGTTCATTGTAAGCGATTGCATCTAAATTATTGTATTAGTTTTCTAGCGCTGTAATAACAAAGTACCACAAGTTACCGGGTGACTCAAAACAATAGAAATTTATTGTTTTATAGTTCCAGATGCTAGAAGTCCAAAATCAACTTGTCAGCAGGGCTGTGCTCCCTCTGAAACCTGTAAGGGAGCATCCTTCCTTGCTCTTCCTAGCTTCTGGGGGTTTGTTGGCAGTCTTTGGTGTTCTTAGGATTGCAGCCATAGCATTTCAGTTTTTGCCTCCATCATCACATGGCACCCTCTCCTTTTGTGTCTGTCTTCATATAGTCTTCTCTCTTCTTCTAATGACACCAGTCTCTTGTATTAAGGGCCCACCTACTCCAGTATGACCTTGCCTTAACTAGTTACATCTGCAATGACCATGTTTTCCAATAAGGTCATATTTGGAGGTAGTGGGGGTTGGGACTTCAACATATCTTTTTGGACACAGTTCAACCCATAACAGTGATTAACTGCATGTACTTAGCAGTAAGCACAGTTTTGTGATCTTTCATTGTGTTCTATGTTAGCTGTATCTTCACTTTGCGTAGTTTGCATAGTCTTTCACAAAACTTGACTTCTGTCTACATACATAGAAGTTAATGTTTTGATGGGTCATGGTAGTCTCTAATAAAAATTGACAAAGAAGCCTCTTTAGTAATGGTAAGAAATGCATTACATTGAATGGCAAGTGGAATCTGCTACTTACGGTAGGTAATACATGTAATGCAGTGAGTCTTGAGATCTTCCTAACATGATTAAATTAGCAGATTGTTTAGTGCCTTGGGAAGTAAATATTTTGTCTCAGCTTTTAAATTACTTTTTAAATAGAAGGGATTTATAGCCTATGGAAATTAAACAGAATAACCACAGGAAGTAGGGTTTACTTAGTTTCTCTTATATTAGATTGACTTCTGTTTTTTGAAATACATTTCTGAGATGTATTTTACATGGTAAGTTATATATATATCCAAAGTGTACCATTTGCTGAAAATGGACATAGGCTGGGCTAAAAGCCTTTAGGCTCGGTAGGCACAGTGCCAAGGACCCACAATACTTCTAGGGTCCCATAAAAATATTTTAATTTCTTTAAAAATCATATAAAAATGAACTTTTAGGCTGAAGAAAATGTTTTAATCTATGATATTTAGTGCATTCATCTTTATACCAACACCAACACAGTTGTAAAATGCTATATGAATTTTAAATACTTTTTGGAGGGAGGGGCCCATGAAGGCAAAGAAGTGTCTAGAGCCCATGAAAATCATAATGTGGTATATGGCTAAACCTATGAAACTATCACCACATCAAGCTAACATCTCTGTCACCCCCAGAGGCTTTACTGTGCCCTTGGTAATTCTTCCCTTGCGTCTCCCATTTGGCCCTGTTATGGCTATGCCTCCTACTACTATAGATTTGGTTACATGTTCAGGAATTTTATATAAATGGAATCATAGTGTGTGTAATCTTTTTTTGTGGGGGGTTGGATCTAGCTTCTTCCATGTATCATGATTATAAATTCACTTATGTTGAATGTATCAAAAATTTATTCTTTTAATTGCTGAATAATAGTCACAGTTATATGGCTGTATTGTAATTTGTTTATCCATTCACCTGTTAATGGACATTTGGATTGTTTTTAGCTTTTGGCTGTTACAAATAAAGCTGCTGTGAATGTTTATTTGGATATATAAACATTCACAGACTTTTTATGGCCATATATTTTTTATTTCTGCTGAGTAGATATCTAGGAGTGAAATGGCTGGATCAATTGGTAGCTTTTCAAAAACACTGTCTTTCTATAATATGTTAAATCTTTTCTCTACTTGAACACATGGAGTACTATTATAAGTATTTTAATGTTTTCTAATGTTTATGTGAGGTCTACATCTGTTTTAATTGTTTTTTTTTTTTTTTTCATCATTATGGGTCTTTTTTCCCTGCTTTTTTCATACCTGATATTTTTGATTGAGTGCCAGTCATTGTGAATTTCACCTTGTTGAGTGCTGGGTATTTTTATATTTCTGTAAATATTCTTGAGGTTTGTTCTGGGATGTAGTTAAGTTTGTTGGAATTAGTCTGATCTGTCTTTTCAGATTTGTTTGATGGGATCAGAGCACTGTTTAGGACTGATTATTCCCTGCTACTGAGGCAGAATCCTTCTGAGCACTCTACCCCGTGAATCATGAGGATTTCTGGTGTGATTGGTGGGAGCAGGCACACGTGTCAGCCCTGTGTGAATACTAGATGTGGTTCTTCAGTCCTTTTGGATGGGTTTTCCCCGGCCTTGGTAGTTACTTCACACACATGTGCTGATCACTACTTTGCTGAATATTCAAACACAACTCTCTGAAAATCCCTGAGCCACTCTTTCTGTACAGCTTTCATTTTCTGGTATTCTGTGCTGTGAACTCTAACCGACTTGGTCTCCCTGGACTCTCCATGTCCTCCATCAGGGACTTTGTGTGCTCAGCTTGGGGATCTGCCAGACTCTACTACGTTTGATTTCCCTCTGCTGTGGCTTGGTTGCTTTCTCAAAGTGTAGTATGCTGGAGCAATTGTAGGGCCCATCTCATTTTTGCCATTTCTGTGGATCGCTATCTTTCATTGATTGATATTCAGTATCTTAAACAGTCCCATTTTGTCCATTAAAAAAAAATTATATCAAATGAGAGGGTATATCCAGTTTCTGTTACTCCCATTTTGTCTGGAAGTGAAAGTTCAGATAGCCTTCTCAAAGGGAGACTGACATTTCTAATTTCATAATTTCCTTTCTCAACAGGAGAATTCTGTGTATTCATTCTGTTGCATTGAGATTTTATGTGGCCCTAGGCATGTTATATTTCAGTCTGTGAAACAAAATTGAAAACATATATATATATAAAGCACCTGTAACAGTGTCTGGCATTTGTCAGGTCTTGCTGAAATAGTTTTCTTATCCATTTTAGTTTTTATAAATTGCAGTCTCATATGGAATTTCATTTAGTTTTGTGTTTAATTTTGACCAATTGAGAAGCCATCATTATTTTGATAGTTTTATATTCTCCTGTACATTTTATTGCTTAAGTGTAAAAGTATGGAAAGTTTCTTACTGATAATTCAATGCAATGAAAATTTAATACAAAATTTTATAATGTTTGTTTATTTTTAACTCACTATTACCAACACTTCATATTGTTTTGAGGAAGTTACAGGTATGAATTTATAATATAAAAATACTTTATAATTATTATTTTACAAATGTTATTATGAAGATTTACATGGTTGCTTTATTTTTGTCAAAAAACAAAAAGTAGCTATTAAGAACTTCCTCTTACTGGGCATTTGTTGAGCACTTACCATGTGCCTCGCCCTGGATTTTTGTTTCAGATTTTGCTATGAACTTTACTTACCCATCTTAAGTCTTGTAATCTATTATGCTCTTCTTTACCTACAGCTAGTCATGCTGCTTCTCTTTTACTGCTGCTGTATGCAACTTTTACTTTATTACCTCATTTTTGTTTTTAATTTCTTGAGCAGTTTTTTCATAGGTATACTCTTTTATTACATTATGTAGATTGTAAAATTATCTGTGGAAGAGATAAGTTTGTTTTCTAATTTTATACCCATGAAGAACTTGCTACTGTGGTTATCAAGTAGGCATTCAACAAATGCTTAATGGTGAGTGAAATGATTGCTTCATAATATACACAATTTTCATGCAAATTAATTGTAATTGTTGATGTATTACCAAGAGGTACTATAATATGTGCCTTACATTTAAAAAATTATTGAAAGTAAGTGCCATTTCCTCAGTAACTGATTAAAAATAAACTATTTGAATTATAGGTTTTCCATGGTGATATTATGTGTATTTTTATAGTAATTTCACTATGTGTGACTGTTTATGTTCAAATACAATTTAAATGCTTTCAATTTTGGGGGTGATTTCTTTGTCTTCTAAGGGACACTAAGAGTTTTTGAGATATTAGTTAGGCTTCTTATTCATCTTGGCGCATCATAGCTGAAAAATGTTAACGGGTCATACTTCTCCCCAACCTTCAAGTTCTAAAATATTTTACCTTTGTTATGGCCTTAAATAGGAGGCGATATAGCTTGATAGAATGGAAATACTTTGAAGTCAGAAAGTTACAATATCTATAGAATTTTGTAGTTATGATAATTCGTGTTAAAATTTGTTTTTAATTCCTTTGCAAATCAGGGCATGTGATTCTTAATAGTGTGGTTTCCTTTGTTAACTCTCAGGTCAGATACAGAGGCTGATGGAATGAGTCCATTTATCTAACTTCTGACAAAAACTTAGACATTGTTAATTTCCTTCTTTTTCTCTCTCAAAATATTTTTTTGTTCACATCTATTGATATTTCAGTCTTTTTCATATCCAATTTTAAGCTGAAGAGAGAGATGCATACAGATAAATACCAAGTGTAATTAAGAATAAACTTTGGAATAGATAATAGAATAATGAGTTATTGAAAAAGATTGTATGAATTTACTATTGTAGATTAATTTTACTAGTTTTGTTGTTGTTTGTGTTTTCTTGTTGTGTTGACAGGGTTGCTTTAGACACTCTTGCTGCATTGCTAAAATCAAGTAAGTTTTTAAATACTAGAAATACTAGATACTATTTTTCTGAGAATTCTATTTACTATGTTAAAGAATCTAGAAATGTAGATTTAGACTATAGTTATAAAGCTGGTTTATGGTATTCTAATGTCAAAATTGACTTTTCCTTATAGTGTTGTTGATGTGCATCATAACTAATGCCATATTATGTTTATTGAGCTATAATTTATTTAGTACATTTATATAATTTAGTCAAGCACGTTGATTGCCTATTTCTAAGTAATTTAGATAAACATAAAGATCCATTAGTAGAGGAAAATATGTATAATTTTTTGAAAGTGAAGCTAACGTGTACTGAACTTTTACTATAAGAAATATCTTTTAACAACTATCTCTGATTTTATGAATAACTTAGAACTCTACAAATTTTGTTTCTACCGTAAATGTGAGTTTATATAACTTTCAGAAAATGTGACTTAATATAAATTTACAGTCTAATTCATTTACAAAATAAAGCACTGTTTTCCTTATCAGACTTGAAGCATTGAAGTAGATATGTCTTATGCTTTTGGAGAGTAATTGCCTGTACTTATATATATATATTCTCTCCAATATGCTTAGTATCTTCATTTTAAATATTTTTTTAATGGCACTTCAGGGGTCGATCAGTTTATTAACATTTTGTTTAATCACGATAACATTTGGTCTTAACAATCTGTGTTGGCTGGGTGGCTTTTATATGTCCCACCCCCACCCCACCATCCACAAGGGAGACATAAGTAACAGACAGCTCATCAATAACTGCCTGTTAGGGGTAAGACAAACTTGTCCCTTGTTTGAATTACCAGAATTCTGATCTTTTTAAAATTATAGTAAATAATGAATTGATTGAAAATCTAATATTTGGTAATGATTTATAAAATTAAAAAAAATCACCTTAGGTATTAGTACCAAATAATAGAATTCTCATTCGACAAATTTATTTTTCAGACAAAGTATATGACACTCAGATTAGTTGTGTAGCTTTATTTTCATTTGTGATGTGGTAAGCTTTAGACCAAGATCACAATATGTGGATTAATTTGAGAAGATATTTTTGGCCTTACTTTGATGGGTCCTCACTTTGTGGTTTAAACTTTAAACCACTTTGTGGTAAAAAGATTAATTCTTAATATGGGCACATACTTTTGATTTGGAGTAGAATAGAATAGCTTTTAAAACTAAACTTTTATTAAAGCTTACTAATTTTCAGGATCACTGATGGCAAAGTCATTAATTCTAAGCTAGTAAAAGCTAAAACTCATAAGTTTCAAGTATTTTATAGAAATCAATTAATACATGATGACTGTAATTTAGTATTTTCAGTTTTTAGTAGTAGTCTCCTTTTTATTCCCTCCCTTCTTTTTCAAACAAGTGTGGTGGGGCAAACATACCTGTTTATTCCATCAGAATAAAAAAATAGTAACTGAAAGGAGAAAAAAATAGTAACTGAAAGGAGAATGACTTCAGTTTATATTTAATATATTTTCAGATGACACGGCACTAAATAGGATGAAAATTTAATGATGCAAAATATTATTTCATGGCACACTGCATATTTTTAAACAAATAATGGCATTTTGGAGCATTCTCATTTATTTTTCAAAATGTTTTTGGTTTCGGGGGAGGTGCAATCATTTTCTTTAAGAGGATAAATTAGACTTTAGAGGGAAGAGGAGACATAGGCTAATTGGGAGTTTGGTATCCTGAATACATGAATAAAGTTCCCTTTTCTAATGTTTTATTTGTGCTCAGTGCTGGTTGCATGTAGCTCTGTTCACTTCCTTTAAGGGGCACTCAGCACCTGTGTTTGAGTTATGGGCAAGTTTCGTACTTGATCTTTCATAGAGAATTTTAATATTTCTCATAAATACCATTTAAGCTATTGGGAGTTGTGGTGGAAACACACAAGGTTTGTAATAGGAATTACAATGATCATAATGGCTTTTAACAAAATCACATTCACAGCTAGTAAACTAAAGGCTGACTTCCAACTGGTGTAAACAAAGTGTGTATTCATTTAAAATGTATGAAGCTTTACTTGGTCAAAACAATGAAAGTGATTTTGTAAAATAGCCACAGCCTTAGCATACTAGCTATTCTAGACATAATAGAGGGTTTAAAGCCTTCACATAGGAAATCTTTTCCCTAGCTCTAGTAAGTGTCTTCGGCCTGTCTAATGTCATAACATAGTTCTCAAAGGGAATTAATAAGTTTATCTCAGTGTTATGTTTTAGGTTTCTACTTGCACCTTTAGAAACTAATAATTCAGGCAACTAAAATCAGTGGAGCCTTACTATTGCATTATCTTAGTGTCCATACTGTGAACCTAGTGGTTATTTTGTAGGTAAATTTGAGATTAAGAAGACACTAGTATTTCCTTTAATTAAACAACCTCAGATGGGTGTTGAATATTATCTTGTGCTCCTTATAATTAACCCAGCAGAGTAGCACTGGGTGACTCGGTATATTGCTCTGAAATGATTGCCTTGCCACTATCTTAGTAAAATGCACCCTGTGGTTAATAATTTTAAATACAAATAAAATAATAAAATTAAGGCAAACGTGGATTTATTTGTTAATTCTACTCCAATAAACTTGAGTATTTACAAAAACCTTTAGTGTAGTTGCTATTACAATAAAAATCGAATGACTAGAAAGCCAGAAAGCACTATTTTCTAATCATGTAATGCTCCTTACATTTCATTTACTAAAAAAGTTATATAAGTATTTTAAAATTAGCATTGTTATAGTATGAATATTTATATAATTGTGGAGTAATTGGAGCAATTAATTTTAGTGGAAACATAAAGTTTGCAATAGAAGCTACAATTCAATAGGGTTTATTTCAGTGGGAACATAAAGTTTATAATAGAAATTATAAAAATGATAGTGGATCTTCTAAAAATCACATTCACATCTAGTAAGTAGAAAGCGTGTACGTTTCATTTGGTGTAATGAAAATCATTACATTCATAAATTTTAAAATACATGAAGCTTTTGTTAGTAAACAAAAGCATTTAAAAAGTTATTCCTCAAATTTTATTAAAGACATTTTGATATTTATAAATGGTGAAACAGTACACAGGCAGGTTTTGGAAGAGATTGCAATTTGCTCTCTGGAACTTCATATTTATTTTGTTAGAAAAAATTTAAATATGTGGTTGTCATTTGTTTTGGAAAAAAAGAATCATAAGCATCCATCACAATATTGAGGTAATATTTTAAATTTGATTTATTCTATCACCCTCTCTTGTCATTTAAAAAGTATTCTTTCTCAATTTTCTTTTGTTAAAGAAACAAATGCCAGGAGAGCTGTAGACAGAGGATATGTCCAAGTGCTTTTAACAATTTATGTAGATTGGCACCGCCATGATAATCGGCATAGAAACATGCTCATTCGAAAAGGAATTTTACAGAGTTTAAAAAGTGTTACAAACATCAAGTTGGGAAGAAAAGCATTTATTGATGCCAATGGGATGAAAATTCTGTATAACACTTCACAAGTGAGTTATTTTCTTATTTCCTGATTATGTACTAATGATATGATTTGGTTGTTAAGAAAACCGAATTAATGTACAAATACTCAGAAACATGATAAATACATTTTTTGAAAATCTTAAAACCAAAAGACACAGTTATTTCTCACATGTGACCTCAGGCTTAGTTGGAGGAAATGGTCAGTGCGCAGTTCTGCAATGTGAGATTTTCTTCCAAAGGCAAAAAGGAAGAAGTAGAAATTCATCCAGTTAGCAAGAGGAGATTCCATGAAGCCATGCTTTCTAGATGTGTAGTTGGCTGTACTCAGTGTTGTATGCCCCTTTCATGAGGTACCTGTGGATCTTTTATAGTCTGTAGAGCAGTTCTGTTGTCTGTGAGTGGTCTGCATGTTTTCCTGCTGGATAGAGGCTTTTTTGAATAGAGAATGTACAAAAATGACACCTGGAACTGGGAATGCTAGATCTGCCAGCTGTTTTAAGCATGAACATTTTTGGCAATATATTTAGTGAGATCCTTTCTAGCATCTGTGTTGATTGTCAGCCATGGGGAATGGGGATGTTGCAATGCAACCCCCGCCCCCTCCCCCCCTTTTTAAAAAGAAAACTATATTATTAGAAAGAAATCTGTCTTTTTGAAAATATCAGCCAGTTATCTTGGTTGTGCACTCCTGGTCTTACACATGATCAACACAATCTATTTTTTATATGACAAGAGCTAAGATATCTGAACACATATTTTATGTTTACCTTAGTTTTTTGTTTTCTAGATCAATCATATGCACTTGTTTTTACATTTCCTAGTAAAGATAGCAATGGATAATTTATATATGAGGAGTTAGGTGACTGGTTTATGCCATTTAACATTTCTGAGCCTTAATTTTTCATTTATTTTGACAGGTCAGATGTGAAAACATATATGGAAACTTTTACAATGTATCAAAGTACCATCTAAATGTCAATTGTCACTAATAATATTTAGTTGTTATATGACAGTTTCATATCCTGTGTCCCTTAACCCTTCTCAAGACTAGAGACCAGGACAGCAAGTCAGACCCTTAAAACTTTATATTGTGATATTCAGGCTGTCCTTTCATAAGGTGAATAGCCAACTTACGAGAGGTGTTATTGCACCTCTCTGAGAAAGGTTCGGTCAAATGCATTTATTTTTTTTTTAAACATCTTACACCTTTTAAGCTTTCTTGCTTAATCCCTTTTTCCATTTTCCCCTTAAATTGTCTTTTTAATTTTATGTCCTAGGCTTGCTAAGTATCCCCCACATTACTCCAAAGATGATACTGATTTCTGCTTACAATATTTAAGGAAAAGTTCTTTTCAATTTGCCACATGAGGTTCTTATTTACAGATAGATAATTCTGAATTTTAAAGCTATTTTGTAACTATTCTGTGTTACAGTATTGGTTTTTGAGATACGTATTTCTAGAAAATTATTAATGTATTACTTTCTGAAATAAAGTCAAATTGGTTCAGTTATTCGTCAAAAAAATTATTTTTTCTTTTTCTTTTTTTTAAAACAGGAATGTCTAGCAGTGAGGACTCTTGATCCTCTTGTCAATACCTCCAGTCTGATAATGAGGAAGTGTTTCCCAAAAAATCGACTGCCACTCCCAACGATTAAAAGTTCTTTTCATTTCCAGTTGCCTGTTATTCCTGTGACTGGTCCTGTGGCTCAGCTCTACAGCTTACCCCCGGAAGGTAGGATCACAGGGTCACGGCTGCTTTTTGCGGGTTCTTAGAACTATGTGACCCTGTCATTTTTCTTTTAACTAATGTCTAACTCCTCAGCAAAGGAAGGCCTTAATGAACATGATACACATTCACATTTTATTTTACTTAAGTATTTCTTTAAATATAAGAAATTGGAGGCTAGTAATTAAGTGAAGTAGTGTGGGATATGTTGTATATATGTAAATGTGAATTGTGAAATAATTAAGCTTCATATGGGAATGTTATTTTTGATAGCTTATGTACTTTTTTTTTTGTCTTTTTTTTGAGACAGAGTCTTGTTCTGTTACCCAGGCTGGAATGCAGTGGCACGATCTTGGCTTACTGCAACTTCTACCTCCTGGGTTCAAGCAATTTTCCTGCCTCAGCCTCCTGAGTAGCCAGGATCACAGGTGTCTGCCACCACTCCTGGGTAATTTTTGCATTTTTAGTAGAGATGGGTTTCACCGTGTTAGCCAGGCTGCTCTCAAACTCCTGATCTCACGTGGTGTGCCTGCCTTGGTCTTCCAAAGTGCTGGGATTATAGCCGTGAGCCACACACCCCACCCAACTTATGTACGTTTTTAAAGTAGAAAAATATAAGCATTAAATAAATGTTTAGGTAATTATGTTTGGGTTTATATCTATAGCTTTTCCATGAAATTTTTTTCTTAAGTCAAAAAAATTACTAAAATTACTATGGTTTTATGCTTAACAAAAACTTGCACATGACTTACTTGGATGAAAATATGAAATTATCTGAGGTAGGCTGTTTGTCATTTTCCATATAATACTGTAGGTATGTAGTAGAGGAAGTAAGAGTTTAAGTTTATTTATATGGGAAAGAAGAATTTCTTTGATAACATCTACCAAAGTGAAAAAGAGAAAGTAGTCCCGGCTTTTAATATCATTTTCATAGTATTTTCTTATCAGTTGATCACTTTTTTGAAAAAAAAAAAAAAAGTTTCTTTATACGTAAAAATTCTTATTTGAAATGTGTTTTAAAAGAATTTTCAAGTAATTATATTAGATTCATTATCCTTGATATAAATTTATTAATGGTATATGTCATGGGGTACACTCTTATAATTTAATTTTTAAAATATGAAATTATTAAAACACAAGTTGACACAAAATATCAAAATGGATTATTCAGAAACCTCCTTTAAAATATTTAAAAGTCTAAGGCTAAGGCTAAGTCTAGGACTTATGAGTAAGAAAGCTAATTAAAAACAATGGTCCAATACCCTTTTTCCCATTCCATTTGAAATTACCAACAGACTTTTATAGGAGAAAATCTGTACTAAATCTGTAAACTAGGTACGAGGAGCATGGAACAAACACAGAACATGCAAGAAATGTTGTAGAGCTGTGAGTAAATGCAGGAACAGCATTAAGCTTCCATTCCCTCTTCTAGAAATGCATTATCTTCAGCTAAAGTTGAGGTGACATTAGCAGCTAATTTGGAGGGACATTCAGGGAGCAGTTGGAATCCCTTTCTCTCTTATATCTCAACGTAAGATTATGGGGGTTAAGTGGTGGTTCTAACTGGTGGAAAACTGGTGAGGCTTCCCTATGTTGCGGCCAGTAGTAACACCAGGAAAGAAGTAGGATATGCCCCAGTGAGTTCTTTATTTAGTGTCTGGATTGATGGATAGAGAAAGTACAATAAATTCACCAAACATGGGACAAATGAGAAGCTGTATTTTTCTTTTGGTTCCTTTTATCACTTTTATCTCAGACCAGTGCATCGCTGGACTAGAAATGCATATTTACATTGACTAACAAGCCTCCGTGATTCAGATGACACAGGAGGATTCTAATAGCAACTTTATAGGCACTAGGAAAATACCCTCATTCTGTTTTCTATTATTCCTTCCTGCTCCTCTTTCTTCCTTCCTCCATACCCGCTGTGTTGCCCAGGCTGGTCTTGAACTCCTGAGCTCAAAAGATCCTCTAACCTCAGCCTCCCAAGTAACCGGGACTACAGGCCCTTGCCACTGCTTTGTTTTCCATTCTTTTCTCACATATCAGCCTTCATTACATGTTTCACAGTTTATTATTATTTACCTTCCTCAGCTGGAATGTAAGTTCACCAACGATAAAAGTCTAAGACTAAGGATCAGTCTAAACTCTTTTACTCACAGCATTTCTGACCCCAAATATGTTACTTTGGCCCACACCAACCAATTCTCCCTATCTCCGGACACCAGTTGGGTGTCAATTCTGACACTGAACACTTGGAGTTAATACAGACCCCACCGGTTAAGGGTTTAGTCCCACAGGTCTGCCCTGACTTCAGATAACAATTATAAGTTTGGACTACCTGTATTTCTGACATACTGGTAATAAAGTTGATGGGGTTGGGAGTTTCCATGACCTGTTCCTCAAGTTTGATAATTTGCTAGAATGGCTCACAGAACTCAGGAACACTTTACTTTTGGTTATGGGTTTATTATAAAGCATGCAACTCGAGAGCAGCCAAATGGAAATGATGCATAGAGCCAGTTATAAGAGAAGGGGTGTGGGGCTTCCATGCCCTCTCCAGGTATGCCACCCTTCCAGCACCATGATGTGTTCACCAACCCAGAAACTCTGAGCTTTTACACCATTGTTTAGGGTTTTTATGGGGGTTCTATTACATAAGCATGCTTGCTGAAATATAAGGCTATTTTTGATAAAATCAGTCTCCAGCTCCTCTCTCTCCAGAGTTGAGGAATGTGACTGAACTTCCAACTGTCTAATCATGCCTTGATCTTTCTAGTGACCACCAGCCTCTATCTTGAAGCTATCAAGGGGCCCACCAAAAGTCATATCATTAAAACAAAAGACATTTCTCTACTTTAGAAATTCCAAGGGATTTAGCAGCTGTGTGCCAGGAACCTGGGACAAAGATCAAATAGATATTACAAAAAGGCTGTTGTTTTTTTCAATTTATCTTCAGCATCTGTTAGATTGTGTGGGACGTAATAAGTGCATTTAATATTTGTTGAATGAATGAATGTAGCTGGCCTTGATACTTACTCTCATGAATGTTAAGTGGTATATCTATGGAGATTTGAAGGAAAGGGTTTTGACTCAAGATTTCTGAACCTTTATTAGTTGTCACTAGGGTGACATATTGTTAGGTATGTTTGGGTACAGAAGAATATTATCCAGGTATGCCCTTCCTGAAGTAATTATGTGAAATATTATATGATGATGTCAAGAATGTAGATGTTACCTAAGAGTTTTTTTTTATCAAACATTATAATCTGTTAACTATGTAATAATAAATAGTCATTATAGTATTATTATTAAACATGTCAAGTAATTATTGGTAAAAGGTACATAATACAGTTATTATAAAGAGAATATTTACATAAATAAGCTAAAATTTATATCAATAGATTTCCTAATATTATATTGTTCTTGCATTTCTAAAATGAAAATTATACAAATAGTCCAAATATATATTCTTCAAATGTAAAAGTAACATCTGGAGCAGAGATCTTTAAACGGGAGTCCATTGAATCATAGAAATACATGGGCGGCCTTTGGAGACTGTGGATACTTTGAAAATTGATGTAAATATATAGGGATCCATCATGCTGTGTAAAAGCGAGGAAATTTCAAAGGTGCATCCTCAGAGCATTACATGCTAAGAAAGGGCAATCAAATCAGTTTCATTAATAAGTCTAAATGGACGAAATGCTCCCATTAAAGGAAAGAGACTCCCAGATTGGGTTAAAAGGCTCTTAAGACAGCAGGGCAGAAAGCTTGTAAGTAAACAGATTGGCAAATATGTGTCATTCCCTAACCCTAAAGAGGTGAGAAGGAAAGTATTACCATTATATAAAACACAAGTACAGAATAAAAAGTGTTAAAACAAGGCAGTGAAGATTATTTTATGCAAGCTACATGTGCCAAATACTGAAAGTAAATACAGCTATAATCATTTGAATAACAGAGAGACATTGGTAGAAACATTGTTGGTGGTTGATTTTAATATGCCTCTACGTTCTTGGCAAAGTAAATAGAGGTGGTTAAATCAATCTAAATAGCTGTTAAAGGTAACTCCTGCGAATACATTTGAATACACAATTGACCCTAAAACAACTTGGGGATTAGCAGTATTGACTTTGTGCAGTTGAAAATTTGCATAGAACTTTTGACTCCTGCAAAACTTAACTACCTGTTGACTCAAAACCTTACTGATAACATAAACAGTGCATATTTTGTACGTTACATGTATTATATTCTGTACAACAAAGTAAGCTAGACAAAAGAATATGTTATTTAAAAAGTCATAAGGAAGGAAAAACATATTTACTACGCATTAAGTGAAAGTGGTTTTCATAAAGGTTTACATTCTTGTCGTCTACACATTGACTAGATTGATGAGGATGAGGAAGAGAAGGGGTTGGTTTCGCTGAGGAGTGACAGAAGCAGAAGAAAATCTGTGTATTAATGGACCTGCACAGTTCAAACTTACATTGTTCAAGGGTCACCGTGTGATTGAAATGGACAATATTTTAGAAAAATATGATAAGTAATGATGATTTAAATAGTAAAAACTTAAAATTGAAAAAATCGAGTTTATTTAGTGAAGACACCAAATGCTGATGGCTTCAGAGATTAGTTTTCCCAAACTTTCAAGGAGTTTTCTTACTCTTTATTTTCCAGAGCATAGAAAAAAAATAAAAAAGGAAAGTTTAGAAGCTAGCATGATGCTGAAAACATAACCTGGTAAGATTAATTTGAAAAAACCTACAGATTCCTCTTACTCATGAAAATAAATATAAAAATCCTGAAGTATTAGGAAATTGAGTTGAGCAGTATTGTTTTTGTGTAGGACACCTTGACCAAGTAAAGATGATTTTTAACAAAGTAAGTTTATTGCCATATTAAGATTTTAATTAGTAAAATGTATTATCAGTAGATGAGAGGAACAAAACCTAATGATTATCGCAGTTAGTGCCATGAAAAGATTTCATAAAAATCCTATCAGTCTAGAAAAATTTCTTAAGGAAACTAGGAATATTTCCTAAATAAGCTACATATTATCTAACTCAAATCTTAAATAGTAATGATAATAGCAAGCATCATAAATAGTAATGAAATGGTAGAGGATGCCTCTCTCAACCGTTACTATTTACCATAGTTTTGAAAACTCTAGCTAAATCAGTAAGATAGGGAAAAGAAAGGTCTTACCCATTAAAAGAGTGAAATAAACTTATCAGTATCTGTGGAGGATATTACTGTCTGTATAGAAAATTCAAGCAAATCAATTGTAAAAAACATGGCTTACACAAAAGAAAAGTTCAGTAAAGTACTATTTACAAGAAAAATGAATAAAATTAAATAGCCTTCCTCTGTGTGTGTATGTATGTATCAACAAAAATCAGTTTGAAAGCAGATCACGATCACATTTATAGGCACAATAGCAACAACAAAATAAACTTCCCCTAATGTACTTTCCCAATCCTTATAGAATGTACAGACTCATTCCTTCTAATGACTACTTCACATATTTGTAGTATAATTTATCTAACTATTTTCCTACTGATAGACATTTGTTTCCTGTATTTCTGTTTTTCCTACTGATAGACATTTAAGTTGTTTCCTGTATTTCTGTTTTTACTATAAATAAGCCAGCCAAGGACATTTTGAAAGTCAGAATTTTGATATATATTCCCTGGTTTTAATTTGATTGGCTATAATAATTAATATTGTTGATTATTGGTACTGGTATAATGAATGGATCTTTGAAATAGCAGAGAAGTTCTCAGACACGCTAAGATATCTTGCATTTCACATCTGGAGTATAAATCCAAAGGAAAACATCATCTTAAGGAAAATATTTGAAAGGTTTGACTAAAAGTTAAAAACATGTTTTCTCTCTGATGCTGAACTGCATTTTCCCCTCTTGCTATCCAAGCAGTCATTTTTCCTGTTTGCAATAGGCTTTTCTTAATTCAATCCCTTTCTTTTTTCCTAGGAGTTATTTTTTTCCTTCTCTTCTTCCAAATGTCAGTTCTTCGCTTGTTTAACCATGACCAACTGCTGTTAAAGCATAAGTATAAATAGGCCCAAATTACCATGTGAAATATGAGTGCTTATTTTTTGCTATCTGTGTCTAAGAATTTGAGGTGATTTGTTTTTAAATGTGTATTTGTTTTAGATAGGGTTGACTAAGCTGCTGTTACAAAGAGACCCGGTAGCACAGGCCCTCAAGCAACAGTAGTAATAACCATTTGTGTAACGCATACTCTTTGCCTGATACTTTACTTATATTAACTCCTCTAATTCTCACAAAAACACTGTGAGTAGATATCTCCATTTTATAGACAAAGAAATGAAGATACAAAGAATTTATGTAACTTGCTCAAAGTCAAACAGCCAGTAAGTTAGGGAGCTAGGATTTGAATTCAGGTATTCTGTCTCTAGAACCCTGTGCTATCCTGCTACAAGATAGAATTTTTTCCTCTCACATAGCCATTCAGAAGATAGACAGCTGGTCTTAGGCAGTAGACATTTACTGGGATCATCAAAGGAAATTGGTTGCTTTTATTGTGTTTTTAACCATCTCCTATGGTTTCCTCATGTGGAAGATGAGAATGGAAAAAAATGGAGAGGATAATTTTCTTTTTAAAGAATGTGACCTAGAATTTGTATTCATCACTTTGCCTCATATACCATTGGCCCAAAATTAGTCATATATATGGTTATGACTACTGCAAGGGAGTCTGGAATCTCCATAGCTAAAACTCAGGGTCTCAATTACTAAATGGAAAGGGAGGAGAACAAATACTAAGGGGGACAGTTACTCGCTGCTATAAGTCACATTGGAAATGGATGTCAAAAAGAGTTTTTTCTGGAAAAATAGCTTTTAAAAATATTTTCTGCTTTGTTTAAAAGCATTATTTATGTGAAAATTCTCCAAGTACTCTCTGACTCTTGATCCCTTGTCTCTCCTATATCCATGGTCCCATGTCTTTTTACATTCTACTCCCTGAGATACTATTTTTTTCATTCCTATTTCTGCTATAATGGTCTAGACATTGTTGGTTTTTTTTTTTTCTCCTATTGGTTGGTCGCTTTCCATCCAGGTGCTCTCTATCTCACCTCTTAACATTGAATTAGGCCATTCTCTTGAAAATCCTTACTGCTTGTCTTCATGTTGAAAGTCAAAACTACTTGGCCTACTATATTACCTACTTCGTTTTTTAATTCTTTATTTTCCTTTCAGTACTTTTATAAGCATCCTCTTCATCCTAGTCATACTTTTTGTTATTTTCTAAAGATACCATTTCGCTTCCTCATTTTAGTATTATTTCCTCTTCTTAAAAGCCACACCCACCCACCATTACATTCACATAGAAATCTGTTTTACTTTCTACAAGATACTGTTTAAATATCAGAAATATTTAAATAACAGAAATACTGTTCTGTTAAGTGGTCAGCATCAATCCCTTGGCTCCAAGAAGTTTGCAGTTAGTTACTGCATTCCTCATTTTCCCATGGCATTTTGGAGTTTATGCCTTCATTAGTGTTTATCTTTGGTATTTTAATTACATATTTACTCCTTTCTGCTCTTAAACCTCATGAGCTACCTGAAGGAAGAGACTATATTCACACCAAGCTTGTCCAACACGCTGCTCATGGGCCACATATGACCCAGGGTGGCTTTGAATGTGGCCCAACACAGGTTCATAAACTTTCTAAAACAATATGAGATTGTGTGTGTGTGTGTGTGTGTGTGTGTGTGTGTGTGTGTGTGTGTGTGTTTTGGTATTAGTGTATTTTATGTGTGGCCCAAGACAATTCTTTCTCTTCCATTGTGGCCCAGGGAAACCAAAAGATTGACAACCCTGATTTATACATTTTTTGAAAAAATTCCCAGCACATAGCATAGCATGTGGCACACGACTGTCAATGAAACAAATAGGTATAGGGGGTCAATTATAAAGGGATGAAGTGAGTCATCAAAATTTATAATAACTAGAAAACAGGATGTTTCAGTCTGTCACAACATAAGACATTATTAATTTTCAAAAACTGATAACAGTAAAAAAAAATTCATCTTCACAGTGCTTTCCAAATTTTAAAGCACTTTCTCATATTATCTCATGGGTTTGTCAACAGCTGGGAGAGCCTTAGGGACATTTTAAATAAGAAATCTCATTTACTTTTTCTTTGGTGATTGATATACTTTATGTAAGTCACATTCTACCGTTGGCTATGCATGTTGTAGAATGCTTACCTTTGACCTACTTATAGCACATTTTGTGTCATAGTGGATGACGTAGTAGATGAAAGTGATGACAACGATGATATTGATGTAGAAGCTGAAAATGAAACTGAGAATGAAGATGACCTAGATCAAAATTTTAAGGTTAGTATAAATTTCTGTAATTAGTTAGCTTTATAAATGATATACTACAGTTGTAAAACAAAAATTGGGTAAATAAATATATATGTAATTGTAGCTTTTACTTTGTCCTCATCTTTTTACCATGGATGACTATGCAATTAAAGGAGTAGGTGATGTTGGTTTAAATCCACTGATCTGAAAAGGACCTTAAGGTAACTTATTTTCACTCTGTCTTACCAGAAAGATTTTATCTAACCTTTCTGACTTAGATTTTGAAATCTACAAAATTGATCTGAAACTCTGTTGTCGCAACTTATTTCGAAATGCATTATTACCCTTTGGCAGCAATCTTTTGGGGATACAGAAATATAATGGATTCGTTTTTGTGAGAATTAGTGCTTGCATAATGATTCTTAGGTTTCAGTTAATTGGACAAGGAAGTGAAAACAGTGTCATTGAGAAAATATGAAATTATTGTCATATTACATATGATGTTAGGTAAAGGAGGCAGGTAAGTTTTGAGAGTTTCATTGTACCTCTGGAAGCCTAGAAAGTCTATATTTCGCTTATTTATTGATAGAGAGGACCACTTTAGCATCTGTAGAAAAATAGTGTCTTTTGTTAGCTGTTTAGCTTATTGCTGGGTTTTTTTGTGGGGAAGGAGAGATTAATTTGACTCTTGCCTGTTTGGACCATTTTTGTCTTGCAAAACTGTATCAAAATTGGGGTACACTGAGTATTTGACTCACTTTGGAGATAGAATTTAAGATATTGTAAGATTTCTGTCTTAATAGATACGGAACCAATTTTATAACCAGCAAACATGATCACCAAAGCTTTGGTGAAACTGTCAAGTTAGCTAATCTGAACTACATATGTGTCCTGGCATCAGGTATTGCACTTAATTATCTCATTTCTTTAGTCTCCATTACAGATTTCTTTGTCTTATAACATTGACATCTTTGGAAAATGTAGTTGTTAGCTTGCATTATTCACTAGGATATCAGTGATTGCTCACATTTTCCCTACTTTATCTTAACACAGCATTTATAGTAATAAGAAAAAAATATGTTATATTATTGAACACATTATTAACTGTGCTAGTCAAAACTCTTTACATATATGTAGTAACCATTGGATCCTCATAGCAACCCTGTGAGGTTACGTTGTATAAGTACATAGAAAACAGAGGAAGGGAGAGAGTCTCAGTCTAGTTTATAAGAGGTGGAGCCAGGATTCAGAAAGCAGCCTAGTGGAATGTCCACACTCTTTACTACTATACTGTACTGAAATACATTTTTTTCTTCAAAAGCTGTGGAATTGTTGGCTTTTTGAGACTGCTGAGCTTTATTATCTTTTTCCTTCCTACTACTGCCTGCCTCTTACCCTCATTGACTTTACATTTAATGTTACTTAAGTTTTCCTCTTTTTATCTGAATCCTATTTCTTCATCCTTCAGGTGAACTGCTACATTGTAGTGGGGATATTATTTATTTGTGTTCTCTGATGGTTATAACTTTTTTTCCTGTGATCCCATTTTCTTTGCCCCAGATTTTTCAGTTTGGAGCATTTATAGAAACTGGTAGCTTCTAGAAGATGCATCTCCAGATAGCCACAACTTGACCATATTATAAGTTTCAGTGTATTCTTTTTTCTGTCCTAACTTTAGCAGTGCTTTTAAGGAGGGTAGCAGGTTGTTTTGTTTTTTTTCAAATGAGTCTGTAAGTAGTTCTTCACTACTGTTTTTTCTCAAACCAAAACACAACATTCTCTACTGTCAAGCTTTCAAAGTATTGTAGTTTTCTTTCCTAATTATGCCTCTTTTACAGCTAAAGTCTTTTTTTCTTTGTTCCAAATAGAGAGTCACTATGTAAGGCCGTATTTTCACAAAATAATATCAAATATTGAACTAGTATGTTTAGAGAAAATATATTTGTAAATTATTTTTTATTTTAGAAACATTCTATTAGATGTTAAACAAGAAAGTTACTACATTATTGGTTCATAAATGTATAAAGAGATTAAATTACATATTCATGTAATACAATAATGATACAGTAATTAATATGATAATATTTAAATAAAATCAATCTCTGTTACTCATGGCAATGAGGAAAATCTTTTTCATTGGACATGTAAATAATAGCTACATTCCTGAATATGAAATAATAAGAAATACATAGTATATTTTTCCTTTTAAACTAGTAGTTAATATGTGCAGTAAGATACATGTATATAAAGTTTTTTAAGGATGGAAGCATAGTAAAATAAATTTGTAGATTAGGCTGAAAAATAGTGGTTACTCAAAGTAAATACAAAATTAAAAATGCGTACCAATTGAAAATTAATAAATGGTATTATTATCTCTCTTTGGCCATAAAGAAGGTAATAATGAGTTTGTGTGAAACCAGAGTCATTGAGGTTCCTAGAAAATAGCTTGAATAGTAATAAGCTGACATTTGCCCTCATATCATGGGATTCATTAGCTTTTCTCTAAAGAGCATATAGAACACATTGATCCTGGATGCGTATCTTGTTTCCCTGAGGACATATTTTCCTTTAAATCCACCCTCTTTTTTCCTAGAGAGACATGGAAATCATTTCTGACTCTTGTTCCACTCCTAACCTCCCCCTGCCCCCACTGAAAATAGAGTGAATGGTAACACTGAGTTTTTCTAAAGGAACTTTATTTCCCCTGCACTCTAAGAGTGTTTGATCGTTGTTAATCTGTATTGGGGCAGTACGTCATGCTGGCTAATGAATGTGGTGCTTCAGAATCACTCTAACTGATTTTTGTCCTGGCTCCTGTCTTTGCAAGATGTGTAATTTTCAGCAAATGATTTAACTTCTCTGTACCTCATTTTCTTTTCCAGTTAAATGGGGGTAATTTCATAGTGTTCTTATGCAGAATAAATTAGATAATGTATGTAAAATGCTTAGCATAGCGCTTCATTTATTTTCAGTGCTTAATAAATGTTAGCTGATTTATTATCACTGTCATATATACGAATGGTTTTCAATTTAGTCTTCTTAAGTTTTACTGCCCTTTAATATGAACAAAATGATGGAAATTAGGGAGAATGAGGAGAACATACTGGAGTCTTGATCTTTACACAAGTTTTTCTGTTTTGAGTCGCCCAGATACTCTGTTATATTAGAGTAACCATGACAAAAACAAAAGTACCCAACAATAATACATCAACCCCCAAACAACAAGCAAATTTGAATATAAGATAAAGTTAATGCAGCATTTATTTAGTAATTATTCTTCAGTTACATTTAATTAATAACCTGGAACATTTTAAATCTAAAATGTATTCTGTATATTTTAAAAGTTTGTTTTAACTGGTAACATGCTCTTTTTATCATTTCAGAATGATGATATTGAAACAGATATTAACAAACTAAAACCCCAGCAAGAACCGGGACGAACAATAGAAGATCTAAAAATGTATGAACACCTTTTCCCTGAGCTTGTTGATGATTTTCAGGTATAAATATAGAAAATTCAGCATCTTAACTGATTTTAATAAAAAGTTATTTTTTCTCCCTTAGGCCAATAATTACTGTTTTTATTCTCTTTCCCTTTCTAAAACGTGAAACTAGCATTGCTTTTCTGAGTGACATTGAATAATTATGTCAACATCATGAGCTGCAGTTAAGCAATTGTAAAATGAAGGGAGATGGACTAGCTTTTAAATTTTTTGTCCCTTTAGGTTTTTTCCATCACTTTAATGGACATAGTTTTTTATTGAGCCTGGATTACGAAACAAGTCAAGTTGATCAAATTGTTGGCAATTAGCTGGCTTTTGTGATGCTTCCTTGGATAAGTCTGTGAAATTGCTCAGGATCTTAAAGTGCCAAACAAAGAGTTCGAACTAGATAATCTCAAAGATTTGTTTAGCCCTTCCTTTGTTCCCTAAATTTAGTATACTTAATTTCTAACTGCTTAAAGAAAAATACTTTGTTGTGAGGTTATAGGTGAGACATAAGAAATATTTGTCACCAGGTGCGATGGCTCACACCTGTAATCCCAGCACTTTGGGAGGCCAAGGTGGGTAGCTTACTTGAGGTCACGAGTTCGAGACCAACCTGACCAACTTGGTGAAACCCTATTTCTACTAAAAATAAGAAAATTAGCTGGGCCTGATGACACATCTGTAGTTACAGTTACTCAGAGGCTGAGGCAGGAGAATTGCTTGAACCTGGGAGCCTGGGTGATAGAGCGAGACTCCATCTAAAAAGAAAAAAAAGAAATGTTTATCACCTAGAGTTTACATTTCATAATTCTAATCATTCATGTTTCAGCTTGGGAACTTAGGAGCCTTAGATGCTGTAAAGATGCAGCAACCATCCACCTTAAGCAGCCCTCCCCAAGCCCCCCTGCTCTGATGCCTTGGTATTCCCCCTAGATTTGAGGTGCATTGGAAGGTACTTTGAAATCAGGGGTAATGGAAGACAGGAATGAAGGAGAAGGTATTTGTCAAAAGAAAAAAAAAAGAAGAAGAAGGTGGGAAGAGACATTTGGGAAAGGGTACTGGTTGATAATCTTCCATTCAACTTTTAACAGTTATCCGTGAGCTCTTTTAACACATTTGTGCCTAGCCAAGAACAACTTGAAACTACCAGCAATAACAAATATTGCTAAATCAAGGCAGAAGAATACTGTGGAAGGGGTTTGAGGAGGAAGTCAATTATTGTGTGAAGAAATCACCTATTTCTTCTGTACAATCTACTTTTTATGTATGTATGAGAAATATATACAGTAGGTCCCCCTTATCCATGGGAGATAGGTTCCAAGATCCCCAGTGGATACCTGAAACCAAACCCTTTATATACCATGTTTTTTTGAACTGATAACAGATTGCTGCTGAGTCAATAACAGGTCGGTGGCATAGATAGTATGGATATGTTGGACAAAGGATGATTCATGTCCTAGGTGGGATGCACCATGATGGTATGAAATTATATCATGCTACTCGGAATGGAGCACTCTTTAAAACTTATGAATTGTTTATTTCTGTGCTTTTCCGTTTCACACTTCAGACTGTGATTAACCCCTAGTAACTGAAACCATGGAAATCAAAACCTTGGTTAAGGGGGCACTACTGTCATATGATTACAAATTGTAGTTTTGATTTGGGAATAGAAAAAAGTAACCTAATATGGGTGTCAAGTCCAGGACTTTGATTCTCATTCTTTCACAAGTGAGTTTTTTTTCTTTTAGATTGTGATGAGTTGTTTTTGCATCCTATGCTTAGATTTTCTGTTTTCTAATCATAGTTCGTCACCCAGAATAGGCTAGCCTTGATGATTTCCTATATGACACTTATGAACAGCTGGCTAACTTGTCCATTAGTTTGGCTGCTCCTAGAGTAGTTTCCTGCTTTTGGTCTGACTAGGTGGGGCCAGGGTCATATTGTAAAGACAGGTCTGAGTGTAAGCGCTTCTCACTAAGTTACTCCTTTTTATTTTCTTTAAGTGAAAGATGCTACTTCAGATATTTCAAGTAGCACACATTTATTAATGTATTGTCTATTCTGTTGTAAAGCTTTATATAGAGTAGCTCTATTTCTATAGCCTATGTAATGGAAATAACATATTGTCTTTTATTTACATAATCAAAAAATTATTTCTCAGGTGGTTGTTTTGCCACTTGATTATCTTTGTCATTTTTAAGTTTCAAAGGAATACATTATTTGATACTTTAGGCTCAGTTTTTTGAAGTGTGTATTTGAATTATAGGCAGCGGTATATAAGTGACATGCTTTCAAGGATTGAGAAGATTGGTTGGTTCTAGATAGGATGTGTTATAAAGAATTTTCTTCATCCCATCTTTGTACCAATTTCTTGTAGATCATAGGATAATAAACATAAATGAAGTTAATTTCAATTATGACTTTTCCCACTTTCGTTTGTATATTATTTTTAGCATAAACCATTAATGCTTAAGATTAGTTTATGTGTTTGTTTCAATCTTAAACACCACCCACTTTGTTTCCAGATATGTTAAGGCCACTATTCAGTAGCCAGATGGAAGGAAAACAAATGCCTTTCAAAGGCAACTGTGTGGTATTATTAAAGTAATTAAGAACATCCTTTGTGAAGTGACCTTACCATGCTTTTAAAGCTATGTTTATTTATTTGTAGTGACAATTACAGTTTTATTTTCTCTTGTTCTTGATGGCCGAATATTGGAAGTGTCAAAATTCTGCATTTTCATAGTTCTTTTATTCATAGGTCTGTGATAGCATGGTGACATTTACCATGTGGACTTTTGTTATATTTTGCTTTTCTTTCTTGTTTCCCTCTTGTTAAACTTGATTTTAAATTTTGGTCCAAGTTATTCATGGAAAAAGTTTAAAGAGTCAAATAGTTTTATAGAGATAGTCCCTTCCCACAAGCTAAATCCTGGAATTACTTTTTGTATGTTTTTGAAGTTAATCCTGATATTTCTAAATAATACATTTAAAGTGCTGTGTCTTTATTTTTGCTTCTTTTCTTCTTTTTTCTTTTTTTTGCATTGTCATCTTAAGGTAGACATCCAGTAATTTTCAGCCTTTTTCTGTGTGTGTGTGTGTGTGTGTTTGTGTGTGTGTGTATGCAGGCATAGATAGGATATAAATTTCCCTATAATTACTGTTTTTGCTGCATCTATAATAAGCATTAATTTTGATGTTTAATATTTTCATTATCTTTGCTCTTAAACCTATGTTTTTTTCTTTGATTCATTGGTTTTTAAAAAAAGATAATTTTAAAAATTATCTCTTTTTCTTGCCTTCATTTGGATTATCTTTCTTATTCCATGTTTTTCATATTACTAGTTTGAAAATTGTATATACAGTCTTTTTATTTTTATCAACTTTTTGAGGTGTAATTTACATAAACTATTCATTTAAAGTATTAGAGTATTGACAAATACACAAAAATTCTAGTGACTCTGGATTTTCTAACATATTTGTCAAAATCTAAAGTAAATCAGGACCTTTCTTTCCTCTTTCCCTCAGTGATAAATGAAAACTGCAAGTACTTTAACTAACTTGTGCTCGGCCTAACAGTGGTTCTTTCCTTATTGGTTGGTAGTATTTTATTGTGTGAATATACCACAGTTTATTTGTGGATGAGTGTTGGAATGTCTGAAGTTTTAGACTTTGCTGGACTTTAATATGAGTAAAGTTAATAACATTTTGTTTACAAAACTTTTTGGGGAAGATGGGTATTGTGGTTCACACCTGTAATCCCAGCACTTTGGGAAACCGAGGCGGGTAGAACACCTGAGTCAGGAGTTCAAGTCCAGTCTGGACAACATGATGACACCCCGTGTCTACTAAAAATACAAAAAATTAGCTGGGCATGGTGGCAAGGACCTGTAATACCAGCTACTCGGGAGGCTGAGGCAGGAGAATCACTTGAATGAGGGAGTTGGAGGTTGCAGTGAGCCAAGATCATGCCACTGCACTCTAGCCTGGTGACAGAGCAAGACCCTGTCTCAAAAAAAAAAAAAAAAAAAGTCTACTGAGTATTTAATTTTGTTTTATTTTGGATTTTTAGAAAGCTTACAAAATGTGTAATCAGCCTTTAATTTTTTGTTTTCTATATTTTATTTCTTTGAACATATTAAATATGGCCATTTCTTGGTCTGACACTTTTGTAGGTCTTTTTCAATATCTAGTGTTTCCTTTGGTTCTTTTTCCTTCTACCTTGTTGAATTGTATGTTTAGGTTTCGTTTCTTCTTTATAATTTTGTGTGTGGAAATTGTGTGGAAACTCCAGAAGTTGTTGCCTTTAAGAGTCACCATTATGGATTGAATTCCTCCTTAAGGGCTTTTGGCCTACCAAGATGATGTGAATTCAGGCTGCAAATCCATGTGATTTGATGGCTGGCTTTTAGTACCAACTTGTGAACAGTGATGCTTTTCACCATCTTAGAGCTAAGGTTTAAAGTTTAAGACAGTTGACTTTTCTTTTTATGTTTTTTTTTTTCTTTTGATTTTTGTGGTGGGAGTATTTCTAGGACATATATATTGAAGATGTAGTTCTGGAGTTTCATCTTTTTGAGAGCAAAATCACCTTATGCTAGTTCAGGGTTTTTCTCCTGGCCTTCATAGTCTTTGAGATGGAAAAATCTGTACCCAAGGTCACCTGGTTTAGCAAATGTGTTCAAAGTGAAAGCTAGCGACATTGTTTAGCTTATCACATAGGGATCCCTTCTTCGTTTGATACTTTGCCTTTATCCTTGCTTTCTTATCCACTTAATGACATACCTGAAATATTTTAATATATGTAACAATTGTAAATGGTTCTATGGGGTGGATACTTAGCCTACCATGTTTCCTACAAAATGTATTTTTTTTTCTTTAAGACAGAGTCTGGCTCTGTCACCCAGGCTGGAGTGCAGTGGTATGATCTTGGCTCACTGCAACCTCCTCCTCCCAGGTTCAAGCGATTTTTCTGCCTCAGCCTCACAAGTAGCTGGGATTACAGGCACCAG